AAGGTACGGACCAAACAAAAAAATTCCCCTACATGTCTGTAAAGCCAACATTGAAGCACTGTGCTCTGTAACAAATACACTAAGATGGCAAGACCAAATTATCAGACTCCTTTGCATCCCCATGAGGAATGAAATGCAAAATTAAAACTATAAGTTACAGCACGTCCTCATTCCTCTGACTCGCAGAACTACCGGGAATTACCACCTTTCCTGAAACTGTAGGAAAGAGAAGCCTCCAGGATCTTTTAAACAAGCATGGAATTGTGTGGGTTTAGTGCAGCTCAGCAGCGCTCAGCGGCGCCAGTTAACAGCCCCCACGCGCTTCCAAGAAGCGTGGCCAGCACTGAATCTGCACGTGACCGACTGGTGAGGCGTCTGGTCACGGCTCCCATGCTGCAGCCCCAGCACATGGCCAGCAGCCAGGACTGTGGTGGCACTGGGCTTGCTGGGTGGAAGCTGCAAAGCCAGGTCCAGCACTGCTGCACAGTGGCGTGGCAGGACCCCGGGGAGTCATTGTCGTCTCCTGCTGGCGGCCATGCAGAGTTCCCCGTCCTCGCAGCTCCCCGCTGCACTGCTATGTGCCTTGTACTGGTACGTGCCTTGTGGCTCTCAGCTGTCAAAATAGCTCGGTATACAACTTGTGGTGGCAGCCACCCCTGCTTCTCAGCACGCTTCTATGAGGGATGCTTAATTCAAGTATCAGTCTTTGCAGGAACATGCAGAGGAGCAGGGTCCCATGCAGACTGCTTCTCATTCTCTCCATACAAAAAGTTGAAGAGCGACCAACAAAAGAATTTAGAAGTGGGGAAAACAGATCAAGAGGATTCTGCACTAGAATTGGAGATGCTTCACGTTTAATTTTTGTCTTGAGAGGAGACCAATACCAGAGGGAAAAGCACTAGAAGAAACAAACAGGTGCTCTGAAAGCACAAAAGCAGTGTTTTACTGTTTTGCAGACTGTAGAGATACAATTAAGAGACTTATTAAAATAATAATAATGACAATGAGAGCCCTTTTTTTTCCCTGAAAAAGGAGGAGAAAAACCCACCCCTATTAAACACCCTCTCTGAACTCTCAAAGAACCACCAACCTAAATGAAACACTTGACTTTCATTTCCGACAGGAAACTGAAGCAATGAATAAATACATTATGACTTAAGTTCTCCTGCTCGTACACGCAAACAAATTCCATTCTTCCCAAGGAGGAGAAGAAAAGCATATATCCTTTTGGACAAGAGTTAACAATACTTAATAGCTTGATGATATCAACAGGCTGATTCACAGACTTGTGAATTCATTTCAGTGTGTCACAGAAATGAATTTACCAGACCTATTTGTTATTCTTTGTTTACCTTCAGAGTGAATTATTTCACTTTTGGTCAACAGGAAAAAACAAAACCAGGAAACGTGTTCGCTGAACTGTTGGACTTAAAAGTTTACATGTATTGTGCATATGATGTGAGAAAAAATGAAAAAGCTTGGGGCTCTTAGATTTTTTTGCAAGCCTTTCCAAAGATAAAGTAATTGCATCTGTGGTTATAGAGACGGCGCCAACAATCAAAGCAACTACAGAGTAAAGTTCAACCACAGAAGGGTGAGACTGGAAGGTGAGAGAGACCACCACCAAAAAGCATGGTAGTACTTAACGGTAATTAAAAATGAAGTGATGGAAGACTTTTTCTTTTAAGGCACAACAATCTCTATGCCAAACATTCTTCATATCAAGTAACAACTGTAACTGGAGTTATAATGTCAACTGAGATACAATGGTGCCCTGATCTAGTGTAGGAAATTCTTATATCCATGAAGGAGCAAGAAAAGAAGCGTCCACAAAAACACAGATACAGACAGAAACTAGAGAGAGCTTTCTTGAGAATTAGTACTCTTGCACAATGTGAAATGCATGAAAAGTCTATAGATAAGCTATTCTCATCTTACTCTGTGGTAACAGAAACACCGGTTTATGTTATTCTAACCCTTAAGTATCAATCAGGCAGGCTTAATAGTCCAGTTAAGTTGAGGTCATCTTCATATTATATAACAATTTTATATAACATATGTTAGCACTGTAACAAAAGAATGATTTCAGAACCTTTTTAGCTTACCTTCCTTTTCAGCAAATGATTGACTATCTGCAATGACTTTTGGTATTTCTGGATTGTAACGAGTCCCCTCTGGAAAAATCACTAAATACATCTGTGGGATTAAAAAGAAACAAAACAGACAAGTTCTTATAATGAATGCAAGCTGATTCCTTTATCAGAAATTATCATCGCTTGATAGGTCCATACCGTATTTCGTTCACACCGCTGATTACTGTAAGGATCCAAAGAAAATCAGAATACTGGAGCCAAAATTTCTTAGCTCTAAGAACTAAGGTTCAAAATAATTTTCTTTGAACGTACACCAGAGAAAGTTGCCCAGGTGATTTAGGAAGGGAGGCAGCATGCGTTAACAAAAGTGAGCACATCAGGAGCAGCCGATATCAACAAGAGTATTGGTTTTGTTAAGTGAGTAGGAGGAGATTTTGAAGAGACAGTCAAATATGTCACAGATTACCTAAATTATGTTTTTTTTTCTATAATACTGATCTTGCATCTAGTCTTTCCTTATACTGAAATATACATTTAATTCCATTCATAATCAGAAATACTATTAATTGAAATTATGACAGATCAGCCACCTTATGTGTCTTTACGCATCTCACTGTATTTCTATTATGAACTTAAACTCATAGTTTAGCATAATTTGAACTTTAAAGTCACATTCCTTTATGCCTGCATGTCTGCAAGGCTAGATTTCCCAAGTAAATTAGTTTGCTTGCCTATTCAGCAACAGCTGTCTATGGGTTCTCAAATCATTACACAGGTAAAGGCTGCCTAAGTATCTGCATATCTGAGTGTAAAATTATGTACCCAAATAGAAGCAGTCAAATTTGATGACTTTTCCATTTGCTTTTGAAACAGAACAGAGATTTCCATCTCCCTCTTTTTTTTTGCGTGTGCGTGTATATCTTGCATGATCTCCTACAAATAAAGTTGATGGCAAACATCACTTAAGCAGTGAGAATTTCATATTGGGGGCTCATCTGCAGAAGAAAAGGCTACAGCCACAAATGGTAACTAGCATGGAGTTGAACATGACACATCCACAGCAAAATCATGCCTGCTGTGCCTAGACTAACTACTTAATTTGTTACCTTTGCAGAAATGAGTCTCAAGAAATATTTGAAAGAAGAACAGATAGTGGATTTACAAAACAGTCCAAGGAGGATTATCAGTGAGTACAGGAAGACACTGACAAGTGGGAGTGTACATCATGAAAAGAAGCAAAGTTAAATAAATCTCAGAAAGAGACACACAAGAATATAACTTTGTGCTTATGGCCCACAAAACATCAGAGCGTGCTGGTATTTGCACTTAATGACTGCAGAACAGCTAGAGAAAAGGCTGAATGAAGAAAGACAGGACCCAGCAAGCAAACTCTCCAGAATCACCACACAGTGAGGAAGGTTGAAAGGTGCACTAAAATGCAGAGGAGGAAAGAAATCTAGGAACTGTGCCAATCAGTGAGCCAGCAGGAGGATCAAGAAAGAGAACTGAGTACATAGCCTTGAATCTGGCAGGGGAAAAAGAAAAAAAAAAGGAAGAATGGCAAAACCAATGTCAGTAGAGTGGAGTAAAGAGAGCTAAGAAAAGGCTGTACTGGTCATGGCATGTTTGGAGAGGAGGAGAACTGGCAGATTGCAGAGGCAGGTGAAGTCCAAAAATGTTCAAGGACTGGCAGAAAGCCAACATGTATACAGATTTGGTGGGGAAAGAACAAAAGAAAATGGGTTTAAGAGGCAAGGTGCTTACATTTTTGTAACGTGACAGTAGCATGAACGCAGGGAGGAGTACAGGAATCCTGAGACCCAGCTGCAGTCCACACTTCCCCCAGTCACGTATACATTTAATCTATGAAGTACACTGTTGAGATACTTCAGTGACTAAGACGTAGCTAGAAAGGGCATAATATTCAATTCCAGGCGCATTTTTTTTTTTCATAAATGTGCCTATATTCAAACCACATAATTTGGATCCTTAAAATGGTACTTCAAGATGAGGTTGATCCCCCCCTTAGAGACTGAAATGCTCAGCTCTAAAGGGTAATACAGCGGCTGTAACAGGTAGTAATTGACAGAGCAAAGAAAGTGAAGCACACAGGATAGGAACACCATTCCTGGTACAGAGGTCAGCGCTTTAAAAGCATGCAAAATTACTGGTCTTCAAAGCAGATAATCAGCCAGCAAAAGCTGATTACACAACAGACAACAGTATCTACTTACTCTAGTCCTACGTGCGCAATACAAAGCAGGGGCTGAAATTATACTTTAATTATTCTTGCAAACCTCAAACACACGCAGCTGAACAGGTTTGTTGACCAGAATCTGAGTATCTCTGGATTGAAAGCATACCAACAAGACAGAGAAGTAGCCTTTGCTTTAAATTCAGCACATATAAACCTAATATGTAGCTCTTTAGGATTACTTTACCTGAGTAAAATTAATGAATGTAAACAGATATCCTACTTATACTCACATACTTGTGTCCTGCACAAGACAAAGATATTCCGCAGGTGCAACTTAGCTTACCAAATCTACTTGTATGACTAGCTTTTCTCTTCTCCCACCACAGGCAGCAGAAGCTAAATCCTTAAGCACTATTTCCAAAGATTGTAACAACTACAAATCTCTAAGATTTTAATAACTAAATAAGCTCCCCTGAACTTGGATTAAGAACCATTGAGCTTTAGCAGCATTTTAATCGCCTAGAAACACGAGCTGCAGCTAAGGCAATTTTTTATATAGGATTTTTCATTTAGGGCAATTAGCTACATAAAAGTTATGCACTTTATCACAGTGACTGCATAATACAGTGCTCGTGTTCAAAATGGCACAGAGAATTTTGCATTACCATAGTCTCTCATTCATTGATATAGCAATTTTAACCCAAGCAGAGTAGGTCCCTGTGTTCAGTTACATGGTACTTTCATGCCCATTTCTGGGTAATGGGTGGGTGTCAAGGCACTCGCTATCTCTCATCAACTTGAAAGCTTCAAGGAGTGGATCAGGATTCATTTAGTAGAACCCGACTGATTCTTCATGGAGCCAGAAAACCAGAAAAAAGGCACGGGTTACCCGCAGAGTCCCCAGTGTAATGTCAGTGAACTTGCCACAATCCACAAATGAAATGAATGGATAATGATAACTGCTTTCACCCAAATAGCAATTCTATTCACTTCCCCACTGTTGTCAAGGTCCCCTAGGCAAAAAGAAATAGCAATGGCACCAAGAGGGGCCATGCTTCCAGAAGAAGTGTAGAAGAGATGTTTCAGGCGAACTGGACGAAAAACACTAACACTCAGATCAGTAACTGAGAAAGATACGGTATGAGAAAGATATCTGGTATAAGTGGAATGAAACAAAAGGTGATGTGTGGAAAGTGGGCAAGGACATCCAGAATCTACAAAGCAGCTGTCAGGGATTTGCAAATTAGTGACTATACGACAAAATAACTTGTATTAATGTATCTGTCCCCTCCAGGTTCTTACTGTTTGATTAGCACTGCTTCACACGACAAAGATTTATTCTGTGACTGAATGAATGACAAAACCAAAACACATAGTAACCAGCTAAATATTGGCTGTACTAGGTCAAATCCCACATCTCAGAATGCAGATTTCCTACTCTCGATGCATGACAAAAGGAAATGTAAGTTACATTTTCAGTGATCTGCTGTTCAGAAGAGGTAACTTTCTTATAAAACAAGCAGATTTTTTGTGTGTATCAAGTGTCAACTGGATATACCATTACATTGAGAAATGCATTTATGTTGTTACAGCTTACATTAACATTAACACAAACATGTCCTTCAAACTGTGTGACAGTCTCTCCTCTCACAGGACGTAAGACTGAAATTTGTTAGCAATCAGCCAGATTTTAAGGAATTTTAAACAAAATGGCATTGTTTCCAGTGAGTTTTGCCAAAAAAAGGCCCAATACCGAACAATTTGAGTGTATACTTCAATGACAGTTTGAGGCAAAGTAATTTCCAGAAATAAATACGAAAATGTATTAGTTCAAGATCTCCACTAAGAAAACACAGGTGCACCAGCGTTTCAGTCTAGCATCAGTTTTGTGCATGTCTAATACTGCTGCACTGTACTGGGGAAGAAGGGCGGCCAACCACGAAGAGCAGGACAGGAAAAGGGGCTGTTTAAGGCAGGCAGGTGGGTAGAAGTTGTAAGACAAGGTGAGCAAGGAGCATCATGCAGTCCCCTGTCCTGACACAAAATGAGGCATACCAGATCACTAATCTGGTTCCACTGTGAATATAAGAGGCCAAGAGGCAGCCTTATTTTTGCTGTCATGTTCCACCTTCATTTTAGTCTTCAGTTAAAAAAAAAAAATAAAGAAAAAAGAAGAAAGAAAAAAAATAAGGACACAGTAAAACAGTAAATGTCTTAGCTTGCTCACTACTGAGAACAGAAGACTGGTTCTGCCTTCTTACATGTCTTCAGTTTCTTAATGGGAACAGGGATAGCTCCAAACAGGCTGAACATTAATCATTAGGATTCTTTTGTTTAAACTGTATGTGGAGAGAAACTGTAAATAACAAAGTGACCCTTAACACAGATTCCCGTCCATCTCCTCTCTATTGGCACATAATTCTTTCCTTAGCAGCTGAAAGGCAAGCTTTTCTCTAACAGTACATTAAAGAAAGAACGCCACCACGTACAAGCAGAATGACTAAGCAACAACAGCTGCTCACTCAACTGAGGAAAAGCCCACCCTGAGCTGTAGCATCCAATGCATAAATTTTAATAAAAATTCCATAGCAAATTAATGATTTACACATGAAGCTGATGAGTTCAGGGTGTACTTGCTTTACTGATTAAAATGTCTTCATTTTAAAAGCAATATGGTTGCTTGTGAATGTCATGCTAAGCTGCAGAACTGCAAAGTTTCTTCATGAATAATGCAGTAAGGACACAGGTTATCACATTCTTCTCTCAGCAGTAATTGTAGGTTAAAGGGCAATTACAGTATCTACATTTACATTCTCAGATAAAGTGGATTATAGAAAGTTTAGTCTTCCCTCAAAGGACAACTCAATGGTCTGTGTCTTTTACCCCAGCAGATGCAAACATTTGTCTCAGTTAATAGGCTTTTGACAGCTTTGGTTTTGTAAAATTCAAGTGTCACTCCCTACATGGTCTGACCGCAGGAGATTTAAAACAGTATGCATCTCTGCAGCAGTTACACTTATTTCTCTTCTATACTGCTACCCTACAAATACAAAGAAAATGGCAACAACTGGACGTGGTAGGCATGTCCAGGTTCTGTCCCCATTTCCAACACCACCAAACTTCCAGATAGGCAAATCACATCAAAAAATAAATGTACCCAAGTGGTCCCAAATTAATTTGGCATTAGCTTAGATACGTTAGGTACAGGCTTTCGATCCACACACAACTGAGGAAAGAGAAGAAACACGATTCCAGAAACAAAGCCTTCTGGATTTGTTTCATTTACTAATCCCATACAGACATACACCATGGAAAACAGAACCCACAGCAGATGTAGCTTTAAAGAAAAGCTTTGTGTTTAAACCTCCCCACATATTCCAGGTGGGCTAAAATCACACACTAGTCTGTCCAGTCAATTTATAGCAGTGCAGCAAGACTGAACATCACTTGCAGATTTCCAAAGACATGCAGAATTAGATGAGATGTATCTTCCTCAGATGATTTAAAAAAAAAAATTAAAAAAAATCCATGTTTCTATAAAGGAGACTAATCCAATGCAGGGTTCAAATCAAGACTCTTATCACAATCAAAAACTTATTATTACAACAAACCCCTGTATTTTAGGAGGTGCACAGGGAAGCCAGAAAGCCAGACTCAACCAGAAGCTGCCTCTTCGGCTAGCAAGAAATCCATGGACCTATGCAGGAAAACACCCTGCCGGGACATTTCACTCACACTAAAGCAAACTTAACCAGCACTCTGCAGGGGGAGCAATTGCTTAGGGGGATGACTACAAGTATGCTTCATACATCCTGCAATTTGTCTTTACTTATTCTATTACACCGCAAATTTTACAGAAATTAGAATTGTTGCTACTGACATACAGAAAATAACTTGACACAATGCAACCTTTTCACATCCCAGGACTCTCTCTGGTAATGCAGGCACAAGTTACTACACTGAATATTACCACTTTCTCCATATGGTCATCGTTAGATTAGACACTGGATAGCAAAAGTTTAGTGGTCATAATGTATTTCTGGCCTTTCTAACTTATATGCTAAAAACTTTATCTTAATCAAAACACCACCCCACCCCACCCCCCCGTTCATGCTAAATCTTAGTCCGAGAGAAAATCAGTTTGAGCACTGTCTTAAACAGGGGCACTCTACTCATTTAAGCCTCTCAAGTAAGCTTAAGGCCAGTTTACGTTCTCAACACATGCACAAACATAAACACACCATCTCCAAAAAAGAAAAAAAAACAACAAACCAACCACAGCCAAAACCCCCCAACTATTATGAAGGTCAAAACAATGTATGCACTCCTTTTAGTCAAGCCTCAGCTTATAAAATATTTGCCACTCGGTATTTGGAGTGGCAAGTCCTAATCACATCATCTTAAAATGAAAGTGTAACTGTTCTATATCAAGGCTTGCTGAGTTGGTTTTCTTAAGCCTAGCCCAAAAGGCAGAAAACATTTGAAGTCACAGCAAGTAACTGAAGCGAAGCACAGTGATTCTAACCACTGAGCCACAAACCATACAGGGAGTCATGAGAAAAGTCACTTGGCACTAACAATCATTCTTCAAATAGAAAATTATCATGAGTTCGGGCTTGCCTTTTTTTTTTACTCCTCGAGGCGTAGCAGACAACGTTACTCAGCTCTAGGACACCACTGCTATTAAAAATGATTGATCACTGGGATGACTAATTAAGATTTGGTAAGAATGGTTCTTGATATTCAGAAGTCAAGAATACCAGTCTCTGACAAGCATACAGTAGTCAAAATGGTGTCTTTTGAAACACTGGGAACACTGACAGGAGTTTCTCAAGGAATGTACTATAGCTTATGTTCTAAGATTTAGTCCAGATCCCCCCTGCCCTCTATGGACAGAATCATCAAGTTCATAAAGGAATAGCCAAATTTTCTAAGTTTAATTAGCGGTATCACTCTAATCACAGAGAGTAACTGTAAAAATACAGAAAGAAAACAAATCCATGATTACCGTCTTGTAGTTGTAGGTACCAGGCATGGCTCATTTCTCCAATAAGCATTTGCCACTAAAAAAGTCAAGAAATGAGGAGAAGAAAGGTATAATCTTACCGGAGTCTCAGCTTTCATCTGGGCCCGTAACTTCTCTCTCATTTCTTTTTCATTAAATTTGGCACTTCTTTTTACATAGACTCCTCCATGCTAACAGAGAAAAAAAAAAAGAAAAGTATTAAATATTTAAGTCGTTTAATGTAGAACAGTTGATAGAAGAACAAACAAGACAACAACGACAAGTCACCTTCATGACTCATGCTGCAAATTCCCACAAGACATTTTATCCTAGGATGAAAGGATAAAAACTGAAACTACTTTTACATTTGCATGTACTTAAGTTCACAAAATCTGTTTAAATGAAGATCAGATCTAAAAAAAAAAGAAAAGCAAGAGACACTTGAAGTGTCTTATTTAAAGGTGTTAAATAATTAACTGGAAGATGGCATTGGAACCGACCCCAGGGATCTATCTATTCCCAACAACATTGACAAGCAGCTTAACTTGTATATCAAGGCAAAATCAGACAACTGAAGTAACTCACGTACAAGTACTTATAGGTCAATGTTTTCAATTTTACGTGCCTGCTCTTAAATAGTGACTAATGCAAATACTGGAATTACAAGTACCGTACCTCCACATACAAAATTAATCAACAGCACAAAAGTAACTAGCATAGGTCTTGAAAACCTCCATACACTTTATTAGAGAATCAAACTTTTAATAAAGAAGTTATAGACCGAGATAATAATTGAATAAGTAACACAAAATCTTTAGAAGGCAAAGTATTTTATAAAGGTATCTTCACTGAAAACCATTATAAAACATTAGATCATTTCCCTGAAAAAGATTCATTTTATAACTTGCTCCACACAATTCATCACAAAACCTTCAGTAAAAGGACTATGGCAAAATACATGCAAAGAAAGAGGGTTATAAAGAAATAAAATTTGCCTCATCATTTCCCTCTTCCATCACTGTTTTAGCTACAGTGTAGCTACAAGAGGATGTAAACAAACATGCTCCAAAATGAACTACTGATACAACGAATTTTTCCAAATAACAGAATTTTAGTTTAATGTACATTGTTTTCATGGGTTTTCTAACTGATTCCCCAACTTGGTAGTACTCTCTTCTGCCCACCATGACTCTTGGCATTAGGATTGTCAGATAATTTTTGCCCATTTATGGTTTTACATGCTCTTAACAGAAAGGTGACAATAAGATTAAAACTACTAAGAGCTGAATCTCATTGAAATGTCTTATCTCAGGAAAAGATACAGTACATTGTAGAACAGGGGTGGTGGCGTGTGTGTGAGGAGCTGTTATTTTATTTGCATGGCACGGACAGGAATAAAGTTTGAGGGGTTAGGAGGCAGGCAGAGGAGGCAGCTATGCAAAACGCTTTCAGCCTCTGTTTTTCATGGCGTGCAGAGATGGCCATGCAGCTGCTTAGCTAGTGGTATCTGATGTGTCTTAAGTTGTTCTCCAAAAACTGCAGTGAAAAGGAACAGAAAATCAATGGTACATTAACTCCATATTAAATATTCTGTCTTAACATTACTGTCTGTTGTTCCCTTACAAGGTGAAGTAGCCAGCTGCAACACTCAGCTGTGCTGCTGTGGCTGGCAGGACACCAAAACCAAGTACAGAATCCCCCAGTCCACTGAGCTCGGCCTTTAGCAGGCTGGAGCATATCAGCATCATCCCACAAGCAGTTTACCAGTCCCAGACAGATAATAGCATGAACAGAAAAATGTTCCATCAGCTGTGCAGCAAACACAGAACCATGCGTTATCTACACACTCCACATGTAAGACCGTTTTAAGGATCTGACACCATTAAAGGGAAGTGTAAGTCTTGTTCTGTACAGTGACACCACAACCACCACTTTCAGGAAGGGCAAACTCAGTTTGGTATAAAGAAATAATGCACCTACTATACAAAACTTCCATGTAATTGGTAATTCATCATTCTGTGTTGGCTCAACTAGGTCAAGCTTTGATAAATGAAGGAAGGCTGGGATCAAAGTCTTCACTTATTTGTCAAATTACTAACCAGCTACAGTAAATTCGAAAAATACTGAACCACCTTTTCCTTGTGTAATTTGTGAACTTGGAGAAATTAAGTTGTACAGTTTGCTTAGGGACACCACAAGACAGGTTTGGTTTCCCACCTCAGACTTCTTAATGCCCAGAAATAGATTTGTACTTCTCAAGTCAATACGAGTATACAGTCACATAATTTAGGAACAGACAAATTACGTACTTTAAGATCACCATTTGCTGCATACAACCCAACTACATAAGTATGTCAGCTTCCCTATGGTGCAGGGTTACAAAGCTAAAGAGAAGCAAGGTGCCATACTAGCTATATATTTACACAATTCAGTAATAACCAAAAGGGAGCACAACCTGATGCCGAATAACAGAAAAGACAAAGACATACTTCCTATGTTAAAAAGTCAAGCAAACTCTGGGACATCAAAAATATTTATCAAAATTACATCCCAGCCTCACCAGGTGGTATAAGATCAATAGGAGCTAGCTGCATTTTGGTGGAGAAAGATAGGGCAAAACAAAATTTCAGATCCACCCAAAAATAATAAAGCCAGTTTTATGAAAAGAAATAGCTCTACATAATAAATCAAAGCCAGAACATAAGAGGTTAATTTAAGTCGTTCTTTTCTTTTCTTGCTATTAGATAGCTGCCTCCAAAGAAGAATGCTAGTTATGCAATTGTATATAGCTGAAATTCCCCAATTTGTATTGCATTTCCTTTTCAGTAACAGATCAAATATATGAACGCTTTTCAAAACAGGTTTCTGGAAGTACTGTTTTTAAGGTTTTAATTTTTTTCCGCTGTACTTTAAAAGCCCCTCTCACAGTCAACAATGGATTATGTTTACAAATATACTTCCTTTGTGCCTGAATTTCGCTCTCCTGGACATCCAGACCACGTTTATTTCCAAACAGGATGTTTACCTGAGGTAGGGAATATGAATTCCGTGAGCATGGCGTAATTACGTGGCTCTGGAAACTTTTAGTGGAGTGTAAGTGACATCACTAACAGAACATCAACAGGAAGGGCAGGAAGTGTTTTATGTTTTTGCACTGTTTGGTGTGATAAAAACAATAAAAATACCTATTAGCTTGCACTGCAGTCCTGCTGCATCCCGTCTCAGTCATTTAAACTCACATGCATGACCACTGTTAGTAAGCTGCCCTTCATTCGTGTCACTGAATTAAATATATATATATATATAAAAAAATATAATCAT